CCTCCATCTATCTATCTATCTATCTATCTATCTATCTATCTATCTATCTATCTATCTATCTACCTACCTACCTATCTCTATCTATCTATCTATCTATCTATCTATCTATCTATCTATCTATCTATCTATCTATCTATCTATCTACCTACCTACCTACCTACCTACCTACCTATCTCCATCTATCTATCTATCTATCTATCTATCTATCTATCATCTATCTATCTATCTATCTATCTATCTATCTATCTATCTATCATCTATCTATCTATCTATCTATCTATCTACCTACCTATCTCCATCCATCCATCCATCCATCTATCTATCTACCTACCTATCTCCATCCATCCATCCATCCATCCATCCATCCATCCATCCATCCATCCATCCATCTATCTATCTACCTACCTACCTACCTACCTCCATCTATCTATCTATCTATCTATCTATCTATCTATCTACCTACCTACCTACCTACCTACCTATCTCTATCTATCTATCTATCTATCTATCTATCTATCTATCTCTATCTATCTATCTATCTATCTATCTACCTACCTACCTACCTACCTACCTACCTACCTACCTACCTATCTCCATCTATCAATCTATCTATCTATCTATCTATCTATCTATCTATCTATCTATCATCTATCTATCTATCTATCTATCTATCTATCTATCTATCTATCTATCTATCTACCTACCTATCTCCATCCATCCATCCATCCATCCATCTATCTATCTACCTACCTATCTCCATCCATCCATCCATCCATCCATCCATCCATCCATCCATCCATCCATCCATCCATCCATCCATCCATCTATCTATCTATCTATCTATCTATCTATCTATCTATCTATCTATCTATCTATCTATCTATCTATCTATCTATCGGATCTCCTGCTTGAGCAGGGGGTTGGACTAGAAGACCTCCCTTCAGTTATTCTGTTATTCTTTTCCCACATCATTCCTGGGCTTAGCTTGACAGCCAAGAAGCCAAGGGGAGGGTCCTAAGCCAAGGAGAAAACCCCTTGCAGTTTCTGCCATCCTTTGTGGGCGCATCTTGAGGGTTCCCCTCCTGGGATGTGCCATTTACAAACGGCAGATTATTAAAGGAATGTTACCTCTATGCTCTGATCACCCAGCACATTTATGTCCAAGCTGGGTGTTGACTCTAGCATGAGAGGAGAAGGACCAGCCGGGGTCAAGACCAGCCAGATCAAGCAAAGGATGGCAGAGACCATTGACTTAAAGCTCTCCGGGCACTACCGTGGTCCCCAGACACCTGCTGGGCTCCAAAGGGCCCTGAGACCTTCTGGCTTCCTTCCTGTCCCACAGATCTCTGTTTCAGGGGGCTCGCTCCCCCCCGTCAGTACCCTAACAGCGCTGCACAGCCTGGACCCCAACCCACACGCTCTGAGCCATCAAACGCAGAACCTCATCATGACCTCCCTCCCGGGGGTCATGGCCATTGGCCCTGGAGACACATCTTCGCTTGCACCGACGTTCACCAACACGGGGGCCTCCACCTTAGTCATTGGTAAGTGAGGAGGTGTTGGCTGTGGAGAGGGGGCTCAGTGTAGGCAGCATGAAAGGAGCTGTGCAGGGCAGCCCCTTCTCCAGGAGCCATGCCCTCTGCTGCCCAGCTGGGCACGTCTTTCTTACTGACAGGGGCTGCCCATAGCTTGAGGCCTTCCAGCCGAGAGAATACTTTTGGGTGGAAAATATTATGACCAGTGAGCTCAGCCTTTATTCAAAGGAACCAGTGAAATAGTCAAAGGTGCCGCACTGAGATTTGTGCCCCAGGTTAACAATAGATCTTCATACATTCCATTAAGCCACGATTCATTTTAACCAGCATTTGAGTTTGTCCATGTGCATAACAGGATCCTATAAACCATGGTTTATTGATCAAGAGCATGGCACTCTATGAAAAGCCATGTGTTTCAGTTCCGTGGCTAGTCTCTCAAACTACAGTAAGCCAATTTGGTTGAACAAGCCATCATGCAGTCAGTAAGCTAGTCGCCCAATTTTGTACAAAAGAATCTGCTACGACAAAACCAAGCAGATTGGTTAGCTTGGGTTAGCATGATGATGAACCCATCCAATTGTGTGGTGCTATGCATGAGGGTTGTGGGTTCAGGTCTGAGGAGGAGTCACTGGGGGCTTGACAGCCAGGCACCCGGGTGCTGCAGCCCGGCAAGCTCTGGGGTGCTGCTGCCCAGCCTGAGGAACGCTCTCCTGTCTCCCAG